TAATATTTATTATTTTTTAATTGTTAAATACATGAATTAAAATAAAAATAAACAAATATAAAAAAGTAGAATAAAAATACACGCATTGGATGTCAGAGTAGAACAATAACAATTACCTTTAATATTGAAATTTGAAATATGTTAAAACCTTTAATATTGAAATTTGAAATATGTTTGTATCTTTTTCTAGCTATCAATACTTTTAAATGAATATGTCATTATCACATGTTGTTGGATGATGGAGTTATGCTAATGAACTACTATGTTTATAAAATAACAAAAAAATACCTAAAATTTTAAAGTTAAAAAATTAACTATACACTCTTATAAATCATCTAACATCATCACTAAAATTAGAATTTATTTCTAGATCAACTAAAAGTAAATTACAAAATTATTCTTCTCATAACAAAAAAATCTAATAATTAGTAAAACAATAACCATTTATATATTGTATCAATTAATGAAAAGAAAATTAAGAAATTTAGGGGTTTTATGAACCTTATTTTATAAGTCTTCAAAATACATCTATAAGACATAATCAACAAATAAAAAATATGATAGAATTGAGAGATTGAAGTTTTATGAACAAACTTTAGTTTATAAGTCTTCAAAATACACCTAAATAGTCATAATTAAAAAAAAACCAAACATTGAAAATTTGAGAGATTGATGAAGTTTTATCAACAACCTTATTTTTTAAAATAATGGAATAGAATTTAAAAGTTATATGAAATTGTGAGGTTTTATATATAAAATTGTGAGATTTAGTTAATGGGATAATGGAGTTAAAGAGAAAAATGGGGAAATAGGTGAATGGATGGGGATTCACCAATGGAATTGGTTAACGTGATTAAACTTATGGTGACATTTGGAATCATGTGACTTAGTTTTTTATTTATTAAATAGGATTACATTAGATGGAAATTATTAATTTTTATTATTAATATTAATTAAAAATGTTTCAATATATACGTAAGTGTAGTGGATGTAATGGGTATAAATTTATGAAGGGTTAAATAATTTTTTTTCTAATGGGCTGATATTATTTTTATTGATTTATTTTATTATTATTATTATTATTATTAGCGTTCAGACGGGTCCGTCTGTCCGCTTTTTTAATGCGTATAAATGAAAATATAAACGATATTTTTTGTTTAAATAAATTTTTTAAAAAATACAATATCCAAAGAGAATAATGCACATGAATGAAAATATAAACGATTTTTTTTTAATGCGCACAACATAAAAAAAATAAATGTGTGTATATTTTAAGAGTAATATTGAAGGAAAAAAAATAGTTTAACCGTCTTGGCTTCCAAACTATCTACCAATATCCAAAGAGAATTAAAATTAGTTTCTGATTTTCATAGAAGTTTTCAGTATTACCCTTATGAAAAGAAATAATATATTACTAACGTTTATACGGACATCCTGTGTCCGTTTGTCTGCATTTTTAATAAACACACGTTAAAATATAACTGAATATTTTTTATTTAATTATGCTTTAAATTTAAATTTTTTAGGTACTCTCATAACTACGTTAAGAATTCCATATTCTCTCTAATTAAATTTATTACTAATCTTCCTTAGGTTCATTTTAGTCATATTAATCATACCGATTAAACGGAATTGTGTTCCAAGCGAAATCTGGACAGAAATCGCGAAATTGGGAAAAAGTCATCTTAGGCCTGCCCATACGCGTATTGCCTTGCCTGTTACGCGTAATGCCCTGCTGTCAGGCCCACCATACGCGTAATGCCCTGTCTCATACGTGTATCACCAGAACTGCTGCCAAAAACTCAGATTTCTTCTTCTTATTATTAATAGCATAAAATAATAATACCAATGAGCATAGTATTCTTATTATTATCATTAATCATTAATATTATTTATTATAGGTCCACTTTACCCCAACTAAGGTCAGCTCTCACCCTCGCCCCTAACATCATATCCTTATTAAGGACATCACAACCAATACACACACAACAAAGTATAAAATGACTAAATAATTTAAATGGGGTGTTACATTCTACATATATAACAAGATGCATGACACACACACACACACACACACACACACACACACACACACTTTTTTAGGTCTTTTATGGTTGTAACAGGGCCAAGGTTTGGGTAGGATACATATTGAAAGTGGGTTAAGATTCAGAGTTACTATAATCATTTTGATCACTATTTTTAAACTAAGGGATTACTTTTGAAGTATTTTCTTTAGTAGGTCTTTTGATTTCCATAGAGCGTTCAACTCTTAAATTTTTTCTTGATTTCTAGTTAGGGTGAATAAACAGATAATTTGAGGGGAAGTTTGGTCAATACGTGAAAACTTGGGATGCATAACCTAGAGAGAGCTTAGGAAGAAGAAGATAGAAAGATTCTAAAAGGGTAAAAACATCATCGATCTGCATATTCGAGGTAAGAGGGAGAATTATTTACATGTGAGTGTTTAGGCAGTCGAATAATGAGGGATCCTTATCCTCTTTTTTCTTCTTCTTAATTTTGTATCTGTGTTATATGTTTGTGGTCAAAGGGTCTGTGTAACACCCCAAACTACTCTCAAGATTATCGACTGACCTCACAAACTAACACAGGTCTTTTCAATATTCTTTTTCCTCACTCACACATTTTTTGGAAAACTTTCCAGAAGGTCACTCATCCAAATACTACACCAAGTCAAACGCGTTTAACTATGGAGTTCTTATTTGTTAGGCTACCTAAATGAAGATGCCTCTTGTTGGTACAAGTAGTACCAATTAATCCTTATAAGTCTTTCTTCAACCATGCATTCTCATACCCGCACAACCTCTGTATCCTTCTCATTCCAATGTGAATTCAATTTTTCCCTAGAAGCTGCTAAGAGTGACTCATTGTCATGCCTCGTGCACCGATAACCACTTCATTGTCATCAGATGTTATATGTAACCACTCTCTTCCCTATTCGGCCTCGGGTGTTACATGCCTATTAGATTTCGCTTCGTTCGTCCCGAAACACGTCATAATGGGTGTTACATGCCTATTAAATTGGAGCGAGGCGATACCTTTCATGAGTCGGCATGTTATTGTCGCCTCTCCTGAGGCATCCTATAATTGTCACCCTAGATGGATCATTTTAAAAATACAACACTACAAATCAAAGGGTAAAAAGTGATAGAAAGTGTAAAATAAAATGAAATACATTTCATCAAGTTCCGCTTGATTCGATTTTTTAAAAATTAATGCAAATAATATAAATAAAATTATACCATTTAATTTCGTTTAATTTCATTCCATCAATTTAAAAATGTCCTAAATCTATTAATTGTTGGTTGAAGTCTCCAAAACTACCCCTAAGCGCTAGCCTTTTACATTAGTAATTAACTATGCCCCTCAATTGAAAATATTCTTTTAGTTGTTGGTTTCCCTGTAGGTGAGTAATAAGCGCTTAAAACGTGGATCTTAAGACCCAACCTCATGTTAATCACGATTTACGAGCATGAAATAAATTATTGAAACTGTCATTTCGTGAGCATACATAAGTTGATAAATCTATCAAAAGATTGTATAATATAGACATGTCGGTTACCTAGTGATTTGAACATGTTATATATTGTGTAGCATACATAATCATGAATTGAATCCTAAGTTAATGTCATGTGATTTTTAGTCATTTAGATGATAAAGAGAATAAAATTGTTATTGGTGATAATAAACCTGTGTGTCTCTAGATATTCCTCTTTACTCTAAAATATGAGTTGAAGTTGTCAATATAAAAAAAAAACCTATTAATTATCTATTTAAATACATGTTTAATTTTTATCAAAATTTTAAATATTTATATTAATTTTTAATTAAAATAATAAGTTTTGATCAATTTCAAAATCAACTTGAAAAAACACAATAAAAAGTAGTAATTTAAAGTTGTTTAGCGGATTGTTTTTTCACCTTTAGTAGTGAAGAACTACTCTTAAAAAATCTAAAAATCTAAAAATGTAATTTTTAAAATACCGAAGTTAACCTCCAGATACCTTTCATATAAACCAAACAACTTTATAAGTGAGTCATTCTCATTTTGCCAAAAACTAATATAAAAGTTAACCTCGGTATTAATGGAATGGTGAGTTTTTACGTTAGGTTCTAAACCAACCCATAGAACATATTTTGAACTCATGATAATGTGTTTTTTTCAAAACTCAATAGATATTGCGGAAGTTAAGTTCCGTATTAGCTTTTAGGACGATAAATATTCTTTATGGGCAGTGTTTTTGTTATCAATTTGACATATTTTAATAAACCTTATATAATTCAATTAAATTGTACATCGATCACAAAATTTTAATCAAAGTACCATATATAATTCAAACAAATCATGCCCAAATGTAGTTCGATCAAAATATCATATATTAAATCAAAATACAAATCATACATTGTTCACAAAATACAAACCATACATTGTTCACAAAATGGTTTCACAAAATATATATAATTTGACCTAGATGAAAGATTAAATTCCAAATTTTAAAAACATTAATGTTTTTTTACTAAGATGTGTGAGCAATAATAAAAATCAATTGTTTATAATAGGGGCAATGACCCATATATATATCTATATATAGTAAAACATTCACAGTGGTTTCAAAAAAGTTTCAAAAAAATATAAGAAATAGTGTTATTTTAGGATGAAAGTAGCAATAAATAGTAATAGTAGTATTATTTTAGCATATCTTTGATTCTGGCATCTATGATTTGATTAAATGAAATCTATATTTTATTTATCAAGAAAGCAACAACACTGGTCCCCTATTTCTTTTTCAATATCTTTTTAATATGAACTCGCAATTTCTCATATATATTAAAATGCCTAAGCGATAATGGTGGGTTACCTATTTTTATTTCTTCACATAAACTACTCCCACATTGATCATGGAGCCATCTTTTCCATTAAATAATTTTTTCATTTTTTCATTTCTCTAACTCAATCATTTCCGTTTTCTCAAACCAAAATAATGAAGATCCAGTGCGACGTTTGCAACAAAAACGAAGCTTCATTATTCTGCACCGCCGATGAAGCCGCCTTATGCAACGACTGCGACCACCGTGTCCATCACGCCAACAAGCTAGCCTCCAAACACCACCGTCTCTCTCTTCACAGTCCTTCTCCTAAACAACACCCTCTCTGTGATATTTGCCAGGTAATAAACTTCTCTTATCTTTCAACATCAAAATCGATTTTCATGTGTTGACTTTTTATTCTTGTTTCAGGAGAGAAGAGCTTTTGTGTTGTGTAAACAAGATAGAGCGATTCTGTGTAAAGATTGTGATTCATCTATTCATTCTGTTAACGAACTTACTCAGAAACATGATAGGTTTCTTCTCACTGGTGTTAAGCTTTCAACTACTAACTCTTCATCTTCATCATCAACTACTGCTAGTATTAAGTCAAATCTTGTTCCTTCTTCTGTGATTGAAAAATCAACTACTATATCACAAACTTCAACTCTCAAAAACGTAGCCATGGAAGAAGAAGAAGAAGAAGGAAGTGGTGGTTCAAGTATTTCTAAGTACTTGATTGAGACTCTACCTGGTTGGCAAGTTGATGATTTTCTAGATTCTTCTTCTGTTCCCTTTTCTTTCTCTAAGGTTTTTGTGTTTTCTTTCTCGCACTTTAAGTGTTATTATTTTTATCAAGTTTGTGTTTATTTATAAATTACTAGATCAGATCAAGCTGTTCTATTAGGAAAATAAGTTCAATTTTGATTTTTTATACACTTCAATAGAATTTGATTTTACAAAAATATTGCAGTCAAATGCAACTTATACAGTCTCGTTTCAACCGCCGCGACTTTTTGAGATTATAGCGGTTGAGGACTATTTTTTGAGATTGTATCGGTTGTATTTGACTGCCATATGAAACAGCCTCAACCGCTGTAAGTTATGAAATTACAGCGGTTGAGGACTATATTTCGAGGTTGAATTGGCTGTGTTTGACTGCAACGAAAGATACTAATATTAGAAATAAGTGATTGGTTTGTTTAAGATTTGGATCTGGTGTATGAAATGCAGGGTGATGAATTATTTGAAGAGAATCTTGATTCATTTTTTCCCAATAGTAATATTGGGATCTGGGTTCCTCAAGCACCACCACCTTCTATATATTCTTCTTCACAAGTAATGATGGTGGGTCAGAGTGAGACCAAGAAAAACAGCAACAACAAAAGCAGCATCAACAGATCAAGGTTGAGGGATGATGGTAACATTTTCACAGTTCCACAGATTAGTCCTGGTTCCAATTCCAAGAGAACAAGATATCTATGGTAGATCTAGATTTCTGTGGATAGTAGTTAAAGCTTCTGCATCCAAAAAAAACAAAAAACAAAATAACAGCCTCTTTGTTTGTATGTTTTTGTAGTTTTGGTTCCTTTAATCTTCTCCCTTTTTACCTACTATGTGGTTTGAGGTTGAGTTTCACTTTTTTGTTCTGTTTGACTTTTTTTTCTACTTCTTTTTATGTCTTTTTTGAGGAAAAACTTTGCTACCCTCAATGTAAATGTAAATGCTTTCACTTCTATGAGCTTTTTCAAATGCATGTTGCTATTTTTGTACATGTTAAGGAAAGTTAAACAGTCTATAGATTTTTAGTGTTTTTTTCCCTCAATTGACAAGCTAAAGAACCTCATTCATTTACTTGTTGAGGCTTTTAAATTGCAGCTAGTGTAAACAGTTAGAAAATGGTTCTTTTATGTCACAAATTTTCCAAATTAATACAAGTTACACAACTCCTAAAGATATAGCAAAAGTATAGCACAATACTTCCTTCGTTTTAAAATGACTGTTGTTTAATATTTTTACACATAGATTAAAGAATGCAATGATATTGTCCTAAGATATTGCATTTTTATTAAATTAGTCTTATTAATATATTGGAAATAGTGCAGAGAGTAATAATTAAATGATATAATTGAAAAAATAGTAATTATTATTACATCGAAAAGTGAAAATGACCGTCATTTTAAAATAATTTTTTTTTTATAATAACTTTCATTTTGAAAAAGAGGGAGTAATAAATTGCGTTAGAGAGTCAATAGTAACAGAGAAAATAGAAACGCAAATGGTAAATATTGAACACTATAATTGTTTACGCACTTCAACGGCTTTAGAGTTTGTGTTACAAGATTCTATCACGGAAGACTATACTTAGGAGTGACAAATAGACATACCTATTTAGACTTGTCTAAAAAAATTGTAAAAAAAAGCAAAGTGGACGGAGTTGACAATGTTGAAGGTGCAAGTTTAAAATCGTCCCTCAAATAAATGAAGGTGAAGCGGGTTTGCAAACACTACACCTTTTAAATTTAAAAATTACCAAAATTATGTTTGAGTATGCAAAAGTTTGCAAAACAATAGGGCGGGACGGTACAAACATGTTTGAGGGTACGAATTTAAAATCTTCGTTTGCTTGCAAAAAATTTGGGCAAAACAAACATATCTGACGGACGAGATCTGTTTTGTCACCCATAACTATCGACCTTGTCTGTCTTTCATTTGTATGAGTCATATTCAACTGCATAGTTGATTTTGATTGAATAGAGGCATAAAACGTGTAGGAACTGTGTATTGGTCCTATAAGTGAGGGGGGCGTTGGTTACATTGTTGGATGAAGGACATACAAAAATTAATGAAATGAAAAGAGGTGATGGTGAGAAGATTATGGCACTCACACATATGAATATATGTTGATAGTGATGGATGTTAGAGACAGAGGTGAGGGAGGGCCATTGGATGGAGTAGTGAAAAGTGTTAGAATAGATAGATGGCATATGGGTTTGTCTGTACATAGGAAATTCATTTGTGGGGTAACAACACTTAGAGTCATTATTATGCTTTCATGGTGTTTTAAACGGAGAAAATTGGTCGGTATGGCTTCCACTTGTACAGTAATTGCATCATGCCACAAGCTCAAAATTGAGCAAACAACATAGTACTTGTAAATTGAGTCAGTCAAATTTTCCATTTGGATTAGTTTTGCTCTCAATCCATCCTTTAGTGCTTATAAAAAAAATTGTAATATCATATAAAATATTACTACATTCAAATCAATGTCTTTTAAAAAATTAAAATGAGTGGAGAAAAGAAATTAGGGAGAATTTAAATAGAGATAAAGTTTTGTTGTAGAGAGTTAGACTGAATTAACTGTCTGAGATGGTTCAGCAAAAGAGGAATGGTAGTATTTTCAGGGCTACAATCCTATAGACTTGAAACTTTAATTTTTTTTAGGCAAGAATTGAAACTTCATTGTCAACTCTCTTTATTGCACATTAATGAAAGAATGTAGATAATAAAAGCCATACCAAAATGCATCTTTCTCATTTATTTATCAACATCTCCTCCAGTACCATAGTAGGTAGGGATTAAGGATATGCATATTCTAACTAATTGATTAGACTTTATGGTTAATATGCTCTAGTACTTAAGAATAGTTGTTTGGAAAAACTATTAAGTTATCCTCAATATTTTTTGTTAGCTTTCCTACTTTAAGTTTGTTAAGTTGTTATAATAGTCAAGTTATAGTTAGTTATAATTAGATATGTCTTTACTTTAGTTAGTAGTTTATTTCAGTTTAAAACTTATTTTCTATTAGTTTGGTGAATGTGATAGGAATGCTATATATATTTTTATTCCCAATGTAATCCAATTCAATTGAAAAGTGTCAAAATTTAAGAATCTCAAAATAAATAGTCTTTTTTTTCTTTGGACCTTTGGTTCTCATTTTTACCAAAAAAAAATATGTTAATAAGTGAATCGAAATAATTCATTAATTCATCAACTCTTACTAAAATTTCTTTTTAAAAATTCAGTTTTATCCACTTATTGATTTTTAATGGATAACCATTTTTATAGTTAATTAAAATATTTTAATTTTGTAGTTACAATTATTTATTTTATTATGTAAATTTTACAAAAATTAAGAGATTCTAAATTATAAAAAAAAAAAAAATTTTGGGCCGTTCATAAGATCCAACAATCAACCAAATCACTCACGGTGTAAGTGTATTATCTTGGATTAGAGTGTAAGCAAATTGACCTATGATTCATTTAACAGGTACTCGCATCCTACGCATAGAGATCAATAGATTGTTATAACTACTCTAATATATACGAAAGAAGTGTGTCATTTTCCAGAAACAATTCAAATTCAAACTCCATTCACTCGTTTTATTTATTTACTGACTTGAGCATTTGAGAATTAACCTTACAGGTCAACCCTTCTCTCATTGCACCAGAAGCTTGAGTCAACTTTGCACTCGCAACCTCCAATCTCCGATCACTTCTGGTTCCCAAGCAGAACAGTGGTGTTGTCTGTGGGAATTAATTTTTTATTTCCACGTTTACCATGATTGAAAATTTACCTCTCAATTTACCGAGTCAAAGTTTTCTTTTTTAAAAAACACATAAATTTTGCATCTTTCTTTTTTAAAAATAAAAACACATCTTGCATCAATAATAAAAAGAAAATGTAAAAATACTTGCATTTGCTAATATGTTTATTATGCTAAAAAATGAATATCAAACAGCACAAGCCTAAGGCAATAAAAATTATAAATCTCACACAATAACCTCCCAAAAGCAATAGACACGCAAAAATAAAGTCACTCGCAATTATGATTGTTGTTGTGTTGATGAGAACAAACAAAGAAGAATACTTGTTGTGATGAGAACAAAGGAGACAAGGAATGGAGGAAACAAAAAGATTTCAGAAAATAATAGGAAGAGACAATGTGTACATTGTATGTATTTGGTGCACTTTTTTAGAGTTGGGTACTTAGATGGTGAAACGATACAATGAAACAAAAAAGAAATTATCAATGTGTGCCAGTGACCACAAATGACTCTTCATTTCCTAATATATTATTTTTTCAAATAAAAAAATGTAAAATTATATCATATTTTATATATATATATATATATATATATATATATATATATATATATATATATATATATATATATATATATATATATATATATATATATATATATATATATATATATATATATATATATATATATATATATATATATATATATATATATATATATATATATATATATATATATATATATATATATATATATATATATATATATATATATATATATATATATAAAGGTTAAATAATGTGTTCGGGGTCGGGGAATCCATAAGGCAGAGGGTACTTCCCTGAGATATTTATCCTTGTCTCCACGGGGGGAAAATACCCGACTTCGGATCCCCAAACCGATAATCTCCATGTGAATCCCTGTTAAAAAAATACAATTTGGCATCCTTACGCTCCGTTGCTCTATGTGGAACAACCATTGCAACTCAAAATGCATGATACCCACCTCTTCCTCCTCAAAGCGATGTCAATCAAGTCATCGTGAACATTTTACGACGTCTAGATCTCGTTAATCTTCCTCGTTATTAGGACCTACTCCACGGTTCTAACAAGTTGAACTGTTGTTGAGGCCTCTAGCACCACCAGAATCTCCTATCACTTCTGGTTTCCAAGCGGAACAGTGGCATTTTCTGTGGAAATTAATTTTTGATTTTCACGTTTACCATGATTGAATATTTACCTCTCAATTTATCGAGTCAAAAGTTTCCTTTTTAAAAAAACACATAAATTTTGCATCGATCTTTTTTAAAAATAAAAACACATCTTGCATCAATAACAAAAAGAAAATGTAAAAGCGCTTGCATTTGCTAATATATTTATTCAGCTAAAAAATGAATATCCAACAGCACAAGCCTAAGGCAATAAAAATTATAAATCTCACACAATAACCTCCCAAAAGCAACAAACACGCAAAAATTAAGTCACCCGCAATGATTATTGTTGTTGTGTTGACGAGAACGAACGAAGGAGAATACTTGTTGTGATGAGAACAAGGAATGGAGGAGACAAAAAGATATCAGGAAATAATAGGAAGAGACATTGTGTACATTGTATGTATTAGGTGCACTTTTTTAGGGTGGGTACTTAGATGGTGAAACAATACAATGAAACAAAAAAGAAATTATCAATGTCTGTCAGTGTCCACTAATGACTCTTCATTTTTTAATATATTAATTTTTCAAATAGAAAAATACAAAACTATATCATATTACAGACACACGCACGCACGCGCGCGCGCGCGCACACACACACACACATATATATAAAGGTTAAATAATGTGTTCAGGGACGGGGAATCCATAGGGCAGAGGGTACTTCCCCGATATATTTATCATCGTCTCCATGGGAGAAAATACCCGACTTCGAATCCCCGAACCAATAATCTCCATGGGAATTCCCGTTAAAAAATGCAATTTGGCATCCTTACGCTTCGCTGCTCTACGTGAAACAACCATTGCAACTCAAACTGCATGATACCCACCTCTTCCTCCTCAAAGCGGTGTCGACCAAATCATCGTGAACATTTCAGCACGTCTAGATCTCGTTAATCCTCCTCATTATTAGGACCTACTCCACGGTTCCAATAGGTTAAATTATTGGTGTGGCCTCTAGCACCACCAGAGGTATTAAGACCAGAGTCATTTCCTATATTCAAGTTACTACAAGCTAATCTCAATGTGCAAGGTGCGAACGAATTGTTGAACAACGTGTTTAACATGGTACAACAACAAAACTCACAAGCAGTTGAAGAAATGTTGTTTCGTCTAGAAAAAAGCTTGCACATCATGAATTCAAGAGGTAACACGGTGCAGGAAGCCGCCTACCGAAGGATTTATATGATCGCCCCTGAGTCGGACACATCTCATTGGGATGCGGCCTTGTGATTTTCAAGTTACTAAAGGAGAAAAAAGCATCATACTCCTCTTCATATTCCAGGAGGAGGTTGGTGTAGTCATGTTCCCCCTGAGGAACAAGTCCAAAAGCCTCCGGTCAAGAACTCTGGAAAAAATTTCGTCTCACCAGTAGTGAAGGACTTTGATCTAAGTCCAACTCATAAGGTTCAGCTGCGAAAGAGAGATTATCAGGTGGTTCAAAATCTCTATTTCAAAAATTTTGAAGGTGAGCGGAGACTCAATATTAAAACATTGCATTCATAGAAAGGAATATCGCACTTTCATACTCACTTTAAATCATTTTATCTTCCTCAGGGATTATTACATCCCAATCTGAAGAAAGACTCATGTCGAGGAAGACCTCTCAAAACTACCTTCACAAGAAAATGCAGAGGAAATTGTTTAAAATATGGGATCAATCCAAGAAGCAGAAGTACCCTCTTTCAATTTTTGACTCGTGATAGGCACAATTTCGTTTGACTACAGAAAATAGTATGTTGTGAAAATACAGACGATGAAAATAGCAAAGTTACTATTTGCTACATGCTACATTATTGCATATATAACTATTGTGATTTGCAATTCGTTCAAATTTATTTTCTTTGGTCAAATTAATTTAAATTTAATTATTGTATAAATATTTTATTTTATTTTATTATATTAAATTTAAAATGTATAATAAAAATTATCAATTTAATTTTTAAAATATGTTGGATGAATGTGATAGGAATGTTATACATTTTCATTCTCTTCTACAATGAAATCCAATTCAATTGATCTCAATAAAGTTGCATATTCATAACCTTCAACAATAAAAAAAATTAATACTTCATGAATTAATGAAACATACAACAAGTTCCAAGGAGCACCCTTAAAAAACAACACACAATTTCAACATAATTGCCTAGTGTTTACCTAGTAAAAAACACAATGTCAACATACTTGTCTTGTGTTTAGCTAGGGGGAAAAACACAATGTATAACACTGATATTGATCCAAAATTATATTATCAGAAGAAACCAAACACACAATGTCAACATAATTTTTCTTAGCAGTGTAGTTATCAAAAGTAAGAAATTTGTTTTGTCCCGACAATTCTATGTTTGTCGTCTGCATTAGTGTATGAGAGTTTCACTGCTATGCTCTTCAAAACAAAAACAAAAAAGTTGAAACATCACATTATTCATGGTTGGCGGCGACAATGAGCCTTGCACATATGGTAGCAGTCATAGAAACAAGGTCCACCACAGTGAAGAGGACAATCTAACCTCATACCTTTGCACCTTGTTCTTGTCATGCATTGTGCAAACTCTCCTAACCTATATTCCTCCTTGTATGCATCATTATGATGATGATGATGATGATGTTTCACGCCCCTAATAACATGTGATCTTGGTTCATTTCTACATCCCCATTTCCACCAACCACCCCCACCTCCTCCTCCTCCCCATCCCCATCCACCACCGCCGCCACCTCCTCCTCCACCTCCACCACCACCACCACCACCACCTCCACCTCCACCCCACCCCCATTTAAATCCTCCTCTTCCACCTCCTCCTCTCTTATACAAGCCACCTTTGCTTGCGTTGAACACAACTTCATTGTTGTGTTTCCCTCTCACTTCTAACTCCTTATTCCCCTTATGACGAGACAAAGTTTCTAAGGTAATATTACCATGTCTTTGACTTTGTGCAGTATCATTTTTCAGCTCATGCCCTTTTAAACCAACAATTTTCACTGTCAGGATCATTAAGCAGAGAACAGCAGAAAATCTCAGTCTCTCCATCTTTAATCAAGCTACAGAAAAAAGAGAATGCTTTTATATCTATATATATAGAATCTTTTGTGCCATCAACACAACATTTTCCTTCTTATTAATATATCTTAACCTTCACTTTGTCCCCACATGAAAATCACATTGTGGCAATGAGTAATGCAAGCGCCATTGTGTCCCTAAAGCTTCCAACTAACACTGCATGCGCAACCTTTGGCATGCACACCTACCCCATCATTAATATATATAATCAAATTTCCACAAAAATATGATTTTTGTTAATTAACAGCTTTTAGAAGTCACTTTCAACAGTTGCATTCATTAAATATAATCAAAGTCGTTACTCATTAGTCATAATAGAAACTGTCTTTTTATAGCATATAAGTATAGTACAATCATAATGGGGAAGTAATGAAAACCTATCCAAATCTAAATATAATAGGGAATTTTTGTCTCCAAGCAATAGAGAATTTTAGCCAAACATATGCATCAGGTACAACCACCAACAAGTTGTAGATCCATAAGGAGGGACCATCATATCATGAAGGGTCAATGAATAACAAATTGCATAAACTTTTAATATATATTCGTTCCTAAACTTCTTCTGAGTTGGTATTGCTTGGCCTTTAAGCCTAAGACTGCAGGGAACGTGTATCATAAGACGTATAGTGGGTTAGTAGAGACAAATGGGAAGGGAAAAAAAAAGCATATCCATGTGATATACATTATCAGGATACTGCCATAATGAATGTTTGGCAACCACTGTTGTTTGCATGTGAAACTAAGAACTTGTTAATATATGTATATCTTCTAATTAAGATTTTTTTTTTTAAACCGAAACACGCAATTAAAGAGAAGAATTCTTCGAAATAATTGAGATTCATTAAAAGGGACAGTCTCTCTAAACAGATGTTTTTTCAACCATTTGAATTGATGAATCAATCCTAATATTCAAGCTGAATAGTTGCTTGGCTTTTAATGCACATTTTGGATCTTAACAATTTTATCATGCGAAAAAGAACTACATTCTAAAAAGACGATAGCAAAACTATAACAAAAACTATATTTGAACACAAATGTTGACATCAAACACCATATAAACATACCGTTTTAATTTTTATAATCTTTCTCAAATTGGGATACAAAGAAGTCGAATAGTAAATTCTAGGCCTTTTTTTTTCAATTTGATCTTACACCTTCATAGGCGCTGAAGCAATCTTCCACTTACAAAGAGTAATGATTTGATCTTCCCTTGAGATATTTTGAGTGTTTTGATTTCTCATATAAAAATTCATCGATGATCTACTTGTTTCTACGTAAGAGGATTGGCTGAACCCTATAACAAATATTTGACAGATATTCGGTAAGAATAAAGTTTAAACTCGTCATTTTGTAGTACAAATTATCCAAATCTTTGATTAACAGCCCAATCATCAACTGAAAAAGCTTAAGCAGATTAAGGCCTACACAAAGATTGGTAAACTTGAAGTCTATTCCTTGAAGCAAACTTTGCTTATCCAATTATCCAAACAGTGACCAGAGTACACATTTTTCGTTTTCGTTTTCATTTTCAAATTTCCCAACAATTGTCAGTTAACAAATGGTTGACATCCTAACCAGATAATTATTTGATTAAATACCCAGCAAGTATTTACAGTCTGACTATATGAGTGCTTAAAGAATGCACAAAACAGTAGGTACATACAGTCAGTGGAGATAGACTTAACGGGGTGACACTCAAGTGTACTAACCTGACATATATTACATGTTACAAAACCTAATTATGACTCAAGGACAGCTCCTTCAACAATTTTCCACCCTGAACCTGAATAAGACATTTCATATCTTGTTGTGTAGATTCTGCTGTTAGAAGCATCATGTTGCGGATGACCTGCAGCAGTGAGGTGTATAGATTCTTTGAGAGTTGTTTCCACCACTGCGCGTCGTCCATTCTGTGATATAGTCACACTGTCTATGTTAAGATCCTCCAAGTTGTAGTCATAGGACCAACCTAGCTCTGCAATCTCAGCTGCTCGATCAGTCCATATCTTCAACATTTCACCGTCCAACACCTAGCAGAACTTAAACTTCAGTGAAACATATATATACACCTAGCAGAACTTAAACTTCAGTGAAACATATATATATATATACTAAATTGTTCATCCAAAAAAACAAATAGAAAATTTCACGGAATAACACTGCCACAAGTAATATAATATCATAAGTTTATTCAGAAGTTTCTTGTCAGTTCTCAATATCCCCACATACATACACAAGAAAAGGTTACTCTACCCATTTATGCACATATTACTATCCATTCCATGGAAGGGCTCGTGTTATTTATACTTGACAAAATTCAACCTGAATCTAATCTGAATATTACTAGTTTAGTTTTATTGTGAAATGTTGACAAGATGAAAATCCAACACCTGCATTTTTATGATGTGAGGGTGGGTAGGAGAATGGAGGAAGCACGCTAAGAAGAGAAAGGAAATAGTTACCTAAGTTTGGGAAATTTTCAATGGAGGGGACTAGAAGTCTAGAACCCCATTAAAACAAATCACATGTTAAAGAGTATATTCACATCATTAGAATGATTATTTAGTAACCATTATCCAGTTTTAAATTTCCTATGAACAAAAATAGAAATATTCTCCCCGACAGTTCTAATTTCACATGCCGAAAAAACTCATAACATAGCTTAACCGGTACTTCGTCATACCAAATTTGGATTCAAGGAAAGGGAAAAACAGTAAACATGCATAATTGCACAAGAGATCTAGGATGAAATCAACAAGACATGTTATTGCACAATTGACGGGTTTAACATGACTGAAGAAAAAAAAAACAGATTACTAGTGCATTTATCATATTCACACTAAATTGGAAGAGTGTAATTACTAAGTATCATCTCCATTTTAAAGGACCAGTTAAATTCCTTACATCTTGCAAGCTTACTAGGCAATGATCAGGTCCAAAAGCTTGGGATTTGATATGTTGCCACTTGCGAACTAGAGCTTCTGCAACCCTTGCATTCATTTTTGGTAATTGCTCAACTAATTCTTCATCCCCTACAGGAGCTGTGCAGTTGAATCAGTTATGTATACAATAAGCAACTATTATCAGAAGCTTATATCATGAACTTACAAAAACCTAATTTCAGATATGCGATAACTGAATCGATCTCAGAAATAAGAAAATATATGTATAGTACTCTAATTGATGTAGATGATTCTAAAAAACCATACCTAAATTGATAGTATCTGATGCAATTACTGAACCAGAGACTTTTTGAAGAATGGGTCTAGCAGGTAAAATCTTCAAACCAGCTAAAGTTACGAGTCCAATTACTACACCAGCACACATGATTTTCACACTTGCATTTTTTATTTCGTCGGTAATAAATTTTCCATCATTTATCTCAGCAGTATTTTTTATTCCCGAAACCTCAACATCAACTGGAGTATCCTGATCTGAAAATATCAGGGGATCATCATTTTCAGAAAGGCTTGAATGATCCTTCTCACCATTTTCTAAATGTGTCAAGATTTTATCATTGGGGCTAACAGGAAAAACCCTCTTCAATGCTTTTATTGCACTAGCCTGGACATGGCCTATAACAGCAGTAGCCTCTGCTCCAATTTTCGCAATGGCTGCTGCAGCAGCCAGGGGTGAACGATCAGCACCCTCCAGCTTCTCTAGATAGCTTAGCACTGTAGGGTCATCATAGTAATCTCCAAGCTTAAAGCTTGTGTCTTTAGTATCTCTAAACCTGGGGAAAACCACCTCCATCAACCATGTCTCCAACAATTTACATAGTCCAGGAAGATCACTGTCTTCATCATCACCCTTTGCATTTTCCATAATAAAGTCAATAATAGATGGGTTTCGATAAGGAGAGCTGTCACTATCGAGTCCCAACCATGACCTACACTGATCAAGCTCCCCAACAAGCAGTGCACACAGACCCCTTTCTAGTGCAAAATCAACTTCTCTCTTCTCCATCTCCATGGGAGTATAAAGAGAGGGAGCATTCCTAATATTTGTTACCTTAGTTTGTTGAAGTTGATTGAATAAGTTATCAGCATCTTGGATAAGATGTGGCTTTTTACCTACAAAGGCTTGTGCAACCAATGCAAGTGCCACCCCATACGCCTCAAAACTTTCAGCTGGAATATTACTAGGTGTTGCTACAAAAAGTTCGACCTTCAAAAAAACAAAGATTGAAGATAAGAGATGAAAATTCTTGATAAACAAAAACTAATGGGGGAGAAAGAAAATTGAAAGAAAAACATGCACATAATATTCAATGAACACCTGTTCGGCTGCTTTCATATGCAGGAATGCCTCGTTCATGAAATCTTCACGTGTGAAACTCCCAGCAATTGCTGCTGCTCCTCCACCTCCAACTGCCCATAGAATGTTTCGGACACCTTGGAGACCTTCCTCTCTCCGTGCTCGATGCTCATCATCAAGAGGCAAGGCTAAAAGTTCTAATACACAGCGTGGGGTTATCTCTTCAAGTGTCTCGTCAATTTGTGTTTGTAAATCGGGTGCTAGGCTGCTTGCCCCTTCTTCCTACATGATCAAGTGAGTCATCAGAAAGCATATTGCACCAGAACTGCAACTTAAAAGTCTTCAAGCTATATACTATACAAATTATTCTGCTTTTACTGCCCATTAAATACAGCAAAACATGATATTGTGTTGATTTTGGAAATGCAACGGTAGTTAAGTTTAAAAGAAATACTATACTTTACAAATGTTTTTTATTCACAAATTTCACCCTAGTACTTATTACTTCCACATGCATAATACAACAGCGCCATATTAATTTTGTGTAGTGATAAGTAAGATCGTGTCAATATTAGGAAAACTAGGTACAACAATGAAAGATTACACAAATTTAAAACGAGTCCCACTAACAAGTTATCCATGGACATTCATTAAACAATAATCATGTTTAATAAAAAAAAATACAATATACAATCTAATACATTGCAAACTTAAAAGAAAATATTCTTTGATATTAAAAAGATTTCGTTAGCATAAGTAACTATGATTGGTATAGTATGTGAGAGTAAGTTATTATTTCTTATATTGAACAATCATGAATAGTTATGCATTTTTTTGTGCTCAGTTTTGTAACAAATCTTTACACTAGATTGTATGGGCTCTACTTAAAGTTATCTTTTTAATAGATGCAAATTCTGAATACTTAGGAATTGCGTGAAGGGCACAGACCATGCTCAAGAAGAATTCTACTACTTTTAAGAGTCAAAGTATAGATAAAGTTTTCAACAAATACTCATAAAAATGGAAATATTAAAAGTCACATAATATCTAGGAACCTTAGAACAATTTCTTTTTTCATACAGATACATCTCAAATTTCTCAAAAACTCTCATTTAACTTGTCTATAATTAATCAATCATCTAAAAGCATGTAAATATTTTTCATATCCAATAAGCTAAACAGGGATTTAATGATAGTAAATTACACTATTAATAGGCATGAGACGAGGTTATATGACTCACCTGCAAAAGCTTCAATGCCCTCTCAAGCATCTCACAAGCGACAATGAAATCTGATGGGGACAAAGCCATAGCATCCCTTGAAATGTCAACATAAGCAAGTGCCATAGCCAACACAACATCTTGCTTAAACGTCTTCGGCAATCTCTCTCTTAGTAAACCCCCACCAATCCTAAGCACCAATTCCATCTCTCCCGCTTCCTGCAATACACAAAGAGCTCCAGGAACCTACAACACACAAAATTCAATTTCAAAAATCAGAATATTGCTATGGTAACATAAACAAATTGAACTGAATTGAATGAAATTGAAATGTTACTTTGTCAAAAGGGATTTCAGTGAGAATGGAAGAATCCTCGTCATCGTCAACGAGGCTTTGATTGTACTCTCGTCTGGAAGCAGGATCAGCTAGGGTTTCGCAAGCGGCTTGAAGAATTTGGCGACGGCTAACCAAAGCTTCGTTGCTAAAAGCATACTGAGGAGGCTTCGAGAATTTCGCTTCGTAAGCCCTACGAATGCCATCACCGAGGAAATGTGTTTCGGCGCCGAGAATTTTGTACAGGTCGAGAGGGAGTGACACGTGGCGTTCAATGGGAGGAGATTCGAGTTGAGGTGTGAAAGAAGTGAGACTAACGGCGGTGGCGGAGGAGGAAGATGATGAAGATGTGTCGCCGAGGAATTGGAAATCGGAAATGAGTCGCTCCGCCCATTTGCTGGTGGCGGAGAAGACGGATGAATGGAGGCGGTTAGGTTTTTTGGAGAAACATGTGAGACGGCAAGGAGTGGATAGTCCAACACCGATGCCAACGCCGGTAACCACCGCAGAATCCATGGCCCTTTAGTTCTAAAACTTCAAATGTCAGTTATAAACCCTTTCTCCTATCCCTTCTGATTCTGTATTATCTGGGTAACATTCTTAGATAGCTTTCGTTATGTTTAATTGATTTAAAATTTCAATTTTTAAAAAAAAATAATAATATTAAAATATAATGTGACATTGAAGATTGAACGAACATATTCATACCAGTGATTTTTGGGAAATTCTATTTAAATTGTGATAAATCGCAGGGCAATAATAAAAAATAAATAAAAGATCAATCTGACAAATATTTTACAAAATCCTACTTAATTATAATTTAATTTTAAAAAATTTTAAATCTAAGAGATAATTTGTCTTTATACACCTTAAAGACAACACCATACCCGATTAAATTTAAAACATTAGAGTGTTTATCTAAAATAATAATGTTTTATTATGGGAATAATATAATAATGTTTTCACTATACTTTATTTTATGTAAGGAATGAATAAATTTGTATATTAGCATTATGCATATATTCTAAATCGTTACCTTTTTAACTTCGAAATATTGGTTTTGATTTTGAAATAATGTTAGTACATTGTTTTAAAGTCATATTAATTAAAATTTTACCATTTTAATGAGTTAAAAAATAATATTTTAAATATTATTGAATGAATTTAATTAATTATAGAGGTTGAATGTTAAAAAAAGTTTAATTTTTATTTTAATTATATATAAAATAATAAAAATGGATGATGATAATAAATTAAATGTGTAAACGATACTATATAACCATTAATTTTTTGTTGAATTACTTTTTATTTTAAATAGTATTATTTTAAATATATTAAATTTTATTATTTTAAATTATTGATATTTATTAAATGAGTTTAATTAGCATGTACTGATTATATAAAATAATTTTACACTATCAATCAATTACTCGCATATATTTCATCATATTAGATTGTAAATTTAAAATTTAAAATTTAATTAATATACATCGACAAAGTAAAAAATATTATATTGTCAATTTATTGTAACCGTTAAATTTTAATTATAGTTTAACTAAACTTTGATTTTAATTATTTATAAAGTAGTATTTGTGACTGATTAAAAAAATTTACACCAACGTTGTATAACAATTAATCTCAAATTTATAGTATCCTTTATTCTAAAATTTTGATTTATTTTTAATAAAAATTTAGTATATCTCATTTTATCATCATTTAATTTAATTGTTTTTTAATAAGTTTAAGTGGCATGTGATGTGAGAATGGCCTATATTATAATATTGTGTTTTATTAGATTGAATTTGTAACTTTTATCGCATTAAAATATATTATAATTTTGAAATACAACAACTAATCAATCCTTCCACAAACATTTTGTCTCTCTAAAAATAACACCTTGCTTTCTAAATTTTGAAGAATATATTTCTCTTTCTTAACCGCGTTAATAGGTTAAGGCAAAGAAATAAGAGTAGTTTAGCATCCATAAAATTTCTTGCATAGTCAAATGAAGTGAAGAATTGGGTTCATAAGCTACAAAGTGTAGCTTCTATCTTAACATGACTTTTCGTCGTGCTTTTTCATTTTTTTCCATTAAATCAAATATACTTAATTACTCACACATATAATGATAAAGTGTAGTTTTTATGTTACCGTGACTTTTTCTTATAAGTGTGAGTCTCTCAAATTTTATAATACATAAATATAACTCTAATACAATTTATTGAAAAATCTGGGAAAGACATAAGCGTCAACAGGGTCAATGCTCTAGAGCACAAGAGAAAAGACGTCACATCTTCACTAAAAATATTAAGGCATTAAGTATATGAATCTCTTCTCTTATAAATCTAATATTTTACTCATTCATAGACGATGTGGTACTTAACCACTCACACATGCATCTAACAATGGATCATCTCTCTTATATAACCAACATTTCCTTCATTTATAGTTGAAGTGAGACTTGATCACTCATACTTGAATCCCAGCAATTTGTCCCACAAGTGTGAGTCACTTGCATCCAGTGTTTTAAATCCCGGCCTGGATCGGTTGGACCAAAATTCGAAGGCTATATAGGTCCGATAAAGGATCGTAGTTGTAATTAGCTCGATAAAAATCGACGTGATATGGTCGATTCATCACTCAGACCAAAAATCTGGTGAGTTTCTTAAACTGATACATTTATCTTTTTATATTTATTTTTTAGCTCGTCAATATAACTGTTCTAGATTGGGCTGACGCTTGACTCATAGTCGATCAGGCTCAAACTCTACCAGGTTGAAAGACCCAATAAGACCTCATCGTCAGGTAGAGACTTGTCGGGCAGAACATCTTCTCCCGCCAGGCACAGATCAACACCAGTCGAGCAGGATCCTCATAGTTGTCTGACTCGCCCTCCTTCTGTCCCACGGTCGGGCAGAACCCATCCAGCTCGGGAAGCCCCTCGGACCTCCCCCTCATTCTCAACGTGACCCATACGCGAATACACGTCATCAGGTAACTATCTGTGTCCTGATTATTCGGTCATCCACCTCCTAGATAGCACGGAACAGTTACACTAGGGCGAAGACCACGTGCTAGTCTTCACGACGCCACGTCAGCCCTAGCAGTTACCAGCGTTGGGCCTTGCAGCTCAGCCCACCGCATAATAACAGTTAGTCATGCGTTGGGGGTTAATTATAAATACCCTCTTCCACTAGAGGGTCGGGTAATCTAACTCTTACTCCTTTCTCTTTGTACTTGTTATCACTCTGCTCGTCCCTTACTTTGGCATCGGAGTGTGCTTCAGGTACACTTCCCCTCTGTCCGTCAAGTCAACAGTTTGACACCTCAGACGCGTGGCAGGCCAGCAATCTCTCTGATCAGTTACGATCAGTGGTGCCGTCTGTGGGAATCTAAAGCCTCCCTGTTCCTCCGAGCAGAAGAACCAAAGCTTACAACTTTAACCTTCGAGATCATGACTAGCCCACGCCACAACGATGTTGTCCACAATTCCGCCTTCGCCCCAATCACCAACGGCGACGACCAGGCTGGGTCATCCCACGTCCGTGAGGGTGACATGAGGGACGGTCGGACTGCCTCCCCTTCGTCCTAGGAAGCGGCACATCACGTCGCACCTCGAGCAAGGAGCCCGGCTGTTTTCCAACCCGTTTCTACTCCAGTTGGAGCAGACCCAACGATGATTTCCCTCTTCGCAGCCATCAACCAAACCAATTTGATGTTGTTCCAGCAGAACAAGCGCATTGGCATGTTGGAACAAGATACCTCGTCTCGCTCTTCCCCGCAGAGAAATCAACGTGAAGACTCACAGAGTCCCTCTCTCCGTCAACGGGGGCGCCGACCACAACTGGAGAGGCCACAACCAGTGGCCTCCAAGAAGCGTGTTTGATCACCTCCCCAAAAGGAGAGGCATTCCCTGTAACACCCATTTTAATTATTTAGTCTTTTTGGTGTGTCCTTATGTGGGGGTGTGTCTGAGTGCGTGGTGGATACCCTTAAGTTATGGGGATTGTTTAATAAGTGTTGAATTTAATATTAACATAATATAATATAATATTGGTGGTAATATAATAATTAATATTATTATTATTATTATTATTATTATTATTATTATTATTATTAGCTATTATTATTATTGGATTAAATAAAATAAAATAAGAATTTAGAGGTATTAGAAGAGTTTTGGGTAGAAAGGAGAGAAAACACGATAAATCAATTTTTGGAGAAAAGAGAAAAGGGGAAGAACAAGGGAGAAGGGAAGGAGGCTAGGGCTAACGATTCTTGAAGGTTCTTCGTCAATCGGAGCAATAATCGAGGTAAGGGGGAGAAACTTATTGGGATTGATAATTGCATGAACAGGGTAGAAGTGGATTCCTTAACCCCGTAGGAATTTGGTGAATGTGATTGATATATTGAAATGTTGATGATTGTTGTTGTTGTTATGATGAATTGTATGTGTATTGATGTGTTTATGAGCATGGTTGCCATTAATGAATTGATGTATGTGTTGTTGGGAGATTGGTGAGGTTTTAAGTAACTTCTGTAGTTCTGATGATGAACATAGGTGTAGGTTCTTGAGTTAAAATTAATAGAGAATGATAGGGTAGTGTTTAATGGGTGTAATATTGATAGGACAGAAGCTGGAAGTAGAGTGATAGGCTTGAATTTGAGTAAGAGAACAGTTATGGACTGTGAGGGTTTTGAGAGATTGCAGAACTCGCTAAGCGAGCAAGTTAGTGAGCGATTTGCTAGGGAGTTTGCTAGGCGAGCTACTAGCGAGTGTTTGCTAGGACTTCGTCAGGAGAGATGGGTAGCGAAGGCTTCCAGTAGTCATTGTCTGCCTTCGCTAGGGAGTTTGCTAGGCGAGCATCTAGCGAGCGTTCGCTAGGGCTTCGCTAAGCGAATGAGCCAACGAGCATGACAGAATGTGATCTTGTGTTGTATTGCATTGTGATTCGTTTTGAAGGATCCCTTGGGTTGGGATAGGTATAGACGTGGTGTTTAGTGGTAAAGAGTGTATGCTCGGTGTTGAAAGGTGAAATTATATATTAATGAACTTAGTTGAAATAGTGGATTGGTGTGTGATGCATGTATGATATATGGTGAGGTGATCAGGGGGATCGTGTAACTTTAACTAAAATGATTAGTTGGTGAATAATATGTATGTATGATGTTTGGTGATGTGATCAGGAGGATCGTGTGCACTTAGTGTGCTTGATGTTTATTTGTTGTGCATTTGGTGTCGTGCATATCATGGTGTTTTGGTGGGATTACTCATTGCTCAGGAGGAGTGTATGTGATTCATCCGTACTCCTTTGTGGAGAATGGTGGGGATAGATCATTGCCAAGGAGAGGTGTATGTGATCTATCCAGGGTTTGATTGAATGAACCAATGAGTCGGTACCGCATGCATGGTGTTGAGTTGCATATTTGCATTTTTATATGTTGTGATTGATGATGGACAGTAGGTCGTGTTTGGTGAATGTTGGGTGACGAATTGTATGATTTCCACCTTTTAT